ATAGAAATTGTACTTTTCTCTTGTTATGTATCTATAATTTCAGTCAGACATGGTGGTTCATGCCTGTAGTCCCAATAGCATAGAAGGCTGAGGCAGAAGGATCACAAGTTGGAGGCTAGCCTGAGCAATTTAGCAAGGCCCTACGCAACTTAATGAGACCCTATCTAAAAAAATAAAAAAGGGCTGGGCATGTGGCTCAATTATTAAGTGTCCCTGGGTTCAATCTCCAGTACCCAAACAAAACAAAAATGTCATAATTTCTAAATGTATATTTAATATGCTCATTTATTCTTGGCACATAAACCTGTAGCAGTCCACTGATACCTTGTAGTTAGCCCTTGCTGTTCCATTTTTGCCCACCCCAACGTCCTGCCACATTAATATAACTTCACTGTCCTTTATTCTGACAAATTTTCTATATAATCATATTGTTAGAATACACATAGACTTCATTCAAAAATCTCATCCTACAACTTTGCCTTAAATTAAAGAGCAGGAAAAAGGAAACTAAAAGGAAAAGAAGAAGGATGTAAAGCATCTCATTGTCTGGTAAGTCCTCAGGTTTTTTTTTGTTTTTTTTTTTTACAAACATTATGAAATTCACTTGTGTTAACCCATGTAAATAAATTATTAATTTATAACATTTTGTTTGTAGGAACTGCCCTGGTTTTTCAGATTCTGGCAAGTATTTCTTTTTTCCCCTCAGCTCACTTTTACTTCTTTTAAATGAAAGCTTTTCTTTCTGATCTGATACTTCTTTGTCTTTTAAATATAGGTTTTAGTACCTTTGCATTACCTTCAGATTCTTGCAGAGAAATGAAACATCAAGCTCACTTAATGTGTCTGACTTCATCTGATTGGAGGAGTACATTAAGTTTCTGGCTTCGCTCTTTCTCACTGTCCCAAGAATCTCATGATGCTGAAGACAGTCATTGCTTGTCATCCAGGGGACTGACGTTTTAAGTCAGATGTCTTCAAAGCTAACAGATATTAGAAAAAAACACACAAGCAACAGAGCTAACATTGAACAATGACAGAGATAACTAATATTGTGATACAAAAAGCAAATGGGGTGAGTATATCAATTTAATCCCACGTTAATTTGCATGTCTCATCTTACTGTTGGGTCTGGGTGTCATAAAATACTTTCATTAATTAGTTTAATTGTTGCTCTCTAATAATTTATGCACTGGCTTGAGAGAAAGGCTACAAAAAAGTCTGATGTTCCAGTGTTCATTATTTACTTACTTAACTTTACATCTTACATTTTTGAGGTCCTACTGTCTGTCCTTTACTATGTGCTTGGTGCTAGATACTATGACTTTAGAGTTTAATGTACATTAGTACTTTTACCAGGTCTCAGACAAGGCAATCTTTTATGTTTGTCATATGTTTTTATTCTAAAAATACATAAAAYCCTCTAAGACATTACAGTTATTATTTTTTTACAGTTAATATTCATTCAGAATTTCTATACTTCCTTTTTGTTATGACCTATTCCTTTCAATATTTTCTTTCCTCTGTTGCTACTCATTTTTCTTCAACTTGAAAAAATTCCTATAGTATTTCTTTCAGTACAGGTTTTGTATTTCTTCTAGTGTAGGTTAGAACCAGCTTTTGGGGTCTAAACTTGTCTTCATCTTCCTTGTAAAGAGGAAAGGAGAGAATTACACACATACACATACACACACACACACACACACACACACAATTGTTTATTGAATCCTAGATTGGCAGCTTCTTAGCTTCTTAGCATCCATGTTATTCTTGACATCTGAATGTTTTATTCTTAACTGAATGACAAATGTCCCCATAGGAAAAGTTGGTCTGAAGCTCAGGTTTACATTTACCTTCCCTCTAGAATGGCAGCCACTCAACTGCTTTGGTAGCTCTCTGATGTCTTGCACAGATTTAAAATAAAAATTTTTAAATATTTTAGTTGTTTTTAGCAGGATAGTTTCTCTGATATAAACYACTCAGTTATAACCACAAGTGAGGAATTTAATTTTTAAGAATTATTTCTAAAAAATCATAGTATCCACATGGATTGCCCTAGCCAGAGATATTTTTGTTTTTTGAAGTCTGAATCTCCCTTACTCTCTAATTTCATAATTTCTATCTAAGGTAAATTTCTCAATTATGAGACAGTAGAGTCTGATACAGTCTAGAAGAATGTACACATCTCTGTCTAGAAGAATGTACACATCTCTGGCTAGACATGTGGCACTTGCCCTGTTCTCATCAGTCACACGTCTATACCCATGTCAAAGTCAAGTGTTCCCAGTGTCTTTTATACTTCCTTATATAATACAGCATTATGTTGTAACCATTTGTTTGCTTGTTCATCTCTGCTGAACTGGAATTGGACCTCTGCTGTATTTATCTTTATGATTTCAGTGCCTACCATAGTGCTTGACATCTCTGGAAGGTATCCAGCAAGCACTGTTTGAATAAAGTGTTTTCCTAGATAAGGTTATTTATATATCAACCATAATACTCATTAAATTCTCATTAGTAGTAATTTGAATCCAGAAAGATTTTCTTTCCCCCCTTGACCTAAACCCATATTTTATCCTACTTAAAGTCTGTGGATTCCATGCATTGAATCCATGGGGAGTTTCTGTGTTCCTAAAGTACTGAGAGAGAAGGACTAACAACAAAGTATAGGAAGAAAAGACACTGAAAACATGAACACTTTAAAGATCACAGTTGAATACAGTCTTCAGGAGAATAAATAAGGCATGCCATCCTCTTCCAGAGTCATGCTTTTCTAGCCCAGTGCTCCAATTCTGACTTCAGTGAACTTCCTTCTATGCCATTGTTCCCTTAACTCTTCATTAGCTTAAGACATGCATGGAAAGACTTAGTTAAARCAAGCATATACTTTTTTCTATATTATTAAAAGTTAAATTATTTTATCATGTACTCAAATTATTCTCTACAAATGAACCTGACATACTTTGTCTTCATTCCAGATGATTGGTATCAGAATTCCATTAACTGTATTGTGAGTATATTTATTTATTTGAAATTAAAATTGCTATTATCTTGAATTAAGAATTTGGTTTACTGACAGATATCTTATTCTTTTTCAGGCTTATATCATTCTTAACATTTGGTGTTTCCAGTAATTTGAGCCAACAGAGTGCTAGCCCACTCATGCATGGGCTTCCTTTTACTGATTTTCCTATGCATCAAAAACATACTATTTTATATTTAAAAGGTGGAAATAAAGAATTCTTATCTTTATTATCTAACATTACCTAGCTCCCACATACAGTTTTATGTTTCCTAATGTGTAAGGCCCAGTGCAAAGTCATCTTAAATATTTCTTATTCTCTATTTTAGAATTAAAAAATGTATTTGTGAGCCTCCAGTTTCCAGTTATAGTGAAATAGCTTGAACATCAACAGACAATAATGATAGATGGATTTTAGTACTTTCAAGTTTTTTGTTAACAATTTGACAATATTAAGAGCATGATCAGAGTAGGCAGAAACTAAACAAGAATCTACCTTTGAGAAATAGTGTGAGATTTATGGGGTTTTGCCTAAAAGCATTCTCTAGTCTTGAGGCAAGTGTTTAAGAAAAAAGGTGTCAGAAGACTGAGTTCAAAAGCAACAGAACAATTAGAAAATTGAAAAATCCAGTTAAAGAGAAAAAATTACTATCCATGTCCAAAAACAGGAAAATGTGATACTTAARGGGGATAAAAAAGATCAATAGAAACAAACCCTGAGTGGGGCACTATAGCACACCTATAATCCCAGCAACTCAGGAGGCTGAGGCAAGAGGATTACAAGTCCAAGACCAGCCTTAGCAACTAAGTGAGATCCTGTCTCAAAATATAAAATTAAGAAAAGATGAAGGAGTACTGGGGATGTAGCTCAGTGGTTAAGTGCCCTTGAGTTCATCCCCAGTACCAAAAAAAAGAAGAAGAAGCAGGGCTGGGGATGTGGCTCAAGCGGTAGCGCGCTCGCCTGGCATGCGTGCGGCCCAGGTTCGATCCTCAGCACCACATACAAACAAAAATGCTGTGTCCGCCAAAAACTTAAAAAATAAATAAATAAAGAAGCAGCAGCAGATCCCTAAGATGATCCAAATGTCACAGTTAGCCAACAATGATTTTAAGCAGCAATTATAATTATGTTCCAAGACTTAAAGGAAAATATACACAGTAGATGAACGTAAGGGGAATTTCAGCTGAGAAAGAGACTGAAAAAAGAATCCAAGTGGAATTCCAGAGCCGAAGAGTATAATAACTGAAGTGGAAAATTTACTTGATGATCTTACCAGAATATTGGAGACAACAGAAGAGTCAGCAAATTAGAAGATAAATCGATAGAAAATATCCAGTTTGCAAAAACAGAAAGAAAAAAAATCAAGGCACACATCTTAGTTGAAGGCAGGAAATAAAAGTGAGTGGAACTAAAGTGAAATGTTCTAGCAGTTATTTCTGTAATGAAAAAGAAATGAAAAATAAAGAACWCTTGAATTTTGAATGGCTAATTATTTTTGTGTTTCCTCTGAGAATGAAGAGAATGCGTGTTTTCAAAACGTTGTGTTGTTGTTGACGTTYGTAGGCCATTTCTCTCATGTGACCATAACTTTCTTAGCTTTCTCTCCTGTGCTTCCTKTTTTCTTCCTCATTCCTTCCAGTAGCTGATGGCCTTTTCTTTCTGTGTGACTATATTTGGGAACCAGTGAGAATGAAAGAGGAGCTAACTTCTGGTATTGGACTAAAACAAAGGAAGCATGTATGACAAGTCGTCATTTCAGGTTCCGTTCTGAGGTGGTTTGATGTGTTTTCCTGTTGTATTCCACTATAATTGTAATTTCCAAGTTTTTGATATTTAACGCATAGCAAATCAGTTCTTTTTAGACATCAACTTTTCTTAAGAATCTGAATTCAAAATGCCAAATGATACTTTGAAAGAAGCCTATTGTAATTATTGACCCCTCTAGACACAGTTCTGTTTCTCTTGTTTTAAACTCTACAGGTGTTTCACCAAAACCAACAGCACTTTTAGCAGCAGCACCCTTCCCTTGGTCCCAGTGATAGCACCTTATCCTCAGGATGGTTTGGAAATGAAGCCCCTCAATGCCATGAAGATGCCTGTGTGCCTGGCTTCCACAGTCCCTGACTGTGGCCAGTTACCTGAGGAGAGCATCAAGGACAGGCTGSCACCCCTACCTACCCAGCATATCTGCTGTCAGGACAATATAAATGGCATCAATTCTGAATCTACAGAAGACACAACAGAGTTTAACAGAGGTACAGGGAGCTGGTTTAAACCTTAGGTTTCTAGATGGTCTTTAGTTAGCTGAGAACTCTATCAAGGAGAGTTTTCTCTGGTCACTCACATATTTCTTAAGAGACTAAGCAAGGGTGTTGTGTAGTTCAGGAAAAGATAGGACAGATAAAGGATTCTTTAAAATTCTATATTACTTATATATTTTATCTCAGGTGGTTAATCCCATTACATTCTGAAAAATATATCCAAATAGGCTTGGATTGAGTTTGTATCTGAGCAGAAGCTTTGCAGGAAAAATGCATTTTGTAAACATGGAACTTTTAGAACTTTYAAGGGGTTTATTCTAATCCCCAATGAATTATATAACTGTTTATAAGAGCTCAATTATATTTTAAACTTTTTGTCTGGGGGGTGGGAGGTGGGATACTGGTGATTGAACCCAGCAGCCCTCTACAATGAGCTTCGTCCCCAAACCTTTTTATTTTTTTATTTGGAGCCAGAGTCTTGCTAAGTTGTTGAGGTTGGTCTCAAACTGACAATTCTCCTGCCTTAGCCCCCGACATCTCTGGGATTTCAGGTATACGCCACTGTGCCCAATTATTTTAAACMTTTTAAGTCTTTGTCTTCTCAGCTTCAAACCAAACATAACCAGGTTCTACTTTTGCTCATTATTATTATTTTTTTTTATTACTCGAAGTAATATTTTTAGATTGCTATGTGAAAAATCAGCTTTTATCATTTCATAAAACTCCTAAACCTTTCTCTTTTCAGGAGAGAGCTGTGGCCATTCAGAAACAGAAAACAAAATTTTAAATTGGAAACCTCTGATTTTGCCACCTGTTTCAGAGGATTGTACTGAGAAGACTACATGGTCTCCTCCTGGCATTCCATCAGAGAGCTCATCAGGGGTCCTTCAGCAACCCCAGGAAACCTGAGGATGTGCAAATACATAGCCAGGTTCCCACCTCAAGCCARTAACTGCACAGAACAGGCCTGGGAATGACCTGTGTGAAGGACATTAATTCAAATCACAGAAAATCATTATTTATTTTTTTGTAGTAATGTCATATGAATGTATCTTAAAATGTGTGTCCTTTTATATTATTTATGCCTGAAAAATGCCTTTCCCTATTCCTTCCTTCCCCCTCAGTAGGAAATGGCCTTTTACATAGTTTTCAATCATCTGGAGAGTAGAGGGATCACTCTGTGTTTTCTAAAACCCTCAGTGACACTAAGAACTCCTTAAGCTATGGGTACAGTCTGTTGGCTTTCAGCTAGGAGGGAGTTGCACAGGCCATTTGAAGTTGGCCCCCTTCACATTTTCAGATGGAAAACTGTCATTCAATATTATGTTAACAGACCTGAGAACATTTTGAAATCAACCACACTTGCAACCTAATGTTTATAATAGCAGATCTGGCTGATAAAGTTTTACAAGAGTGCCTTCCATAAACTGCTTATTTACCTTCTGTCTGCCCATGGGCATCAAACAATGTTCAGTCTTCTAAGCACCAACCATAGCCAGTGTTGTGGACATGGGAGAGTGTGAGGTCTAATTGTATTATTGCAGGATGTAGGAGGACACGTATAGCTGGAGAGAAATTAATGCCTTAATATCCCACTGCTTTAAAATTACATTAGTTTATAAAATGATCGTCACATGGCTCTTTTTCAACTATTTCTAAAAGTAGGAACAACAACAACAACAAAAAAGACAACTGTAAAGCAGTGGCTTGAAGAGAAAGATACACATTTTAAAAAGAAAGAAAAGGGAGGGCTACAGTGGCCTCTCGGCAGAAGCTCTTCATCCTGTTTCATAGGTATATATATGCTCATGGTGCCATACTACTTGACAGTAGTCATTTTCTCACTTCCTATATGGATAGCAGTTGGAACACATGAGTGAGTGTGTGTAAGTCGGTTTTTCATCACTGTAACAAAATACCTGAGGTAATTTATGTGTAAAGAAATAAGATTTATTTTGGTTTCTAGTTTTAGAGGCTCCAATCCATGCTATTGGTTTATGCCTGTACCAAGACAGCACATCATGGAGGGGATGTGTGGTGGAGCAAAAACCACTTCCATCACAAACCAGGGAGCAATGGGAGAAAGAAGAAAGGTCTGGGATCTCACAGTTCTATTTAAGGGCACACCCCAAGTGACCTAAAAACCTCACCCCACCTATTAAAGGTTCCACACCTCCCTATGGTGCCACCCTGGGGACCAAGCTTTTAACACTTGGACTCCTGGGGCACACTGAAGATCCAAACTATAGCAGAGTGTCAGTAAAGATTTAATTTTGAGGAAAAAGGTTTGTTTTAGTTTCCTGATTTTTTTTTTTTCAGAATGCATTGTAAACAGGCACCTAAAGCTTTGATAAACAGAGCTTATGCATCACAAGTTGCTGCTGCCTCTGAGTGACAAGGACATTACAACTGCCTTTTGGAAGTCTTCTTTCTCAATGTTAGGAAAAGAAAACAGAAAAAAAAATCAAACACTATAAATGTATTTCAAATCTTGAGTCAGGTTTTCATGAAGTCACTGCTCTTTTTTGGATTGTGCATCCCATTTGGGGGAAGAAACAAAAAGTCATTCTTCTTACATAAGATCAASCAGTTATAGCATAAGTTTTTCTTTTTTTAAAAAAAAGAACTAGTTTCTCAGAAATTGCAGTGGAATAGAATAATAGAATACTATGTTAATCAACTGTATGTAAATGCATCAGTTTTTCCTTACATATRTTTATATATTTTATAAATAGAACTGTTAGTGAAAATGTTCTGTTTCAGCTGGGTCACTAAGCTAGAGTTACTTCCAGTAGATTATAGGAAATATAGTGCCATAGCTGGATATTAGAACTATAAGAAAAGCAAGTTCTACATTCCAATGTTCATGCCTGTAGTGTACCAGATTAATTCTTTGTGTTGCTTAGATGCAATTAGCTTTGGAGGGGGAWAGCTGCAGCCCTTACTTCTCTGACTAGCAAAGGACAAAGTCCTAGTACATAGAACATAAGGAATACCCAGTGTGAATCAACTAAGTTATACAGAAGAAGTTTAAGGAAACTAGGGAGTAGGTGTCCCTGGCAGTCATTTTGATTCCTGAAACAGGTGTATTAGCATAAGCTTTAGGTCAGAAACTGCTTCWAAAGATTGAGTTTGAATATGGGACTTGTCCACGAGGAAGAGAAAATAACTTTACCTTTCGGGCAATCTCATTCTGGACTGCTTTATTTATATGATTAGTAACGCTGTTTTAAGTGTTATTCATTTTATTGTATTTTATTTATAAAAATGCCTTTATATATTGAGATATATAAATATGAATATAAATATAGAGATATATAKAGATATATATATAATTGCCTTTATGTTTAGGAGTTATGAGTTCTCCCTAACCGTGAGTTGCTCTGAACTTTCATGCCCTGCAGGGTATCCAGAAACAGTCCTAATTAATGGTACTTCCCCAGGAAATAAAAGGACATAGGACATTGTGGGGGACAATACTCACATTTGTTAAGGAACTCCTGTGTCCCAAGTTCTGAGCTCAGTGCTAGTTACTATTATCTCACTCTACCCTCACAACAAATCTACCAAATTGGTATGAAAATTCCCAGGTCACATAATGAGCTGAATTGGAACCCAGTATATCTGTGGCCACCGTGTACGCTTCTGTTTTTTCCATACTGCTTTCCAGAAGCACTAGGTTTCACTCCTATAGAACTTGCCCAGTAACTTGTGCTGTCGTCTGCCCCTGCTGTGTAATTCCTCAGAGGCTCTGTCTCTGCAGCTGCAGAAGACCTCCACCCTTGCTCCCCTCCCCCCATCCCTACCCCACCTCCACCCCCTCCCCACCTCCACCCCCTGGAGCCTTGGCAGAGCTCTGTGCTTGTTACTGTCTCTAGCAGGCCACAGTCCTCCCCTGGATGCCCTTCATTCCCAACCCCTGTCCAAGACCTTGATCTTCACTCTGCTCAGTGATCATGAAATTGATGAGGCCTCTTCAGGTTCCTCCTAGTCCTAGTCCTCGAACTCTGATTCTTTGTTCCCCTGTTCCTGTTACGCCATTCCACCATCTCCCTTTGATTTTCTTCTTTCAGTTATGCACTGATGGTCTGATGGCACCTGCCATACAGGGTGCAAGTTAAATTGTAATGTTCAAAACCTTTTGAAGCTGTCTTTTCAGAAAGTATTTCTTGCTGGRTTTTGCTTTTATAAAACAGGTCTCTAAAGACCAAAGCATCCATACTGGGTTGACCATGTCACATCATTCCAGCTGTAATACTGCCAAGAAATTAATGTTTATAATTGAACTTCACCTGTGTTGCTCTATTTTTTTAAAACAATGACTCTGAGATGCATGTTTTGTATCATATTGAAAAGTATGTTTTTATTTTTCCCTAAAGTTGTAATATTGTTTGAAATTGTACATATTTTAAATGATGTAGCTTTGACAGGTTTTATCTGTTTGATGTGGTTTTATATTAAAAAGAGAATGCTGCTTTCATGGAGAGTAGCCCTTGAAGATGGGGAAGCTCAGATACCCCCTGTTTGTACAAAGTGGCCTTATGGTTTGTGATTGGGGGTRAGTGTAATGTCTGGAATTCTTTGGAACCTCCACCTCTGTCCTTTGCTGAAAATCCCGTGTACACCCAAGAGCTCAGTAAGTTATCCCTTTATCCTGACTGCAGAGATCAAGGCCTTGAAGAGTAAGATCCTGGGCAATTATTAGATGAGGAGGCTGAGCTAGGGGGCTGTGAAGAGACTGGGGGAGCCCCCCTAACAGGGTGACAGGAGGGTGAGAGAGAAGTGGGGAGATTGTGAGGAGGTCCCCCTCACATCTTAACTTTTTACCATTTTCCAGGGCCATGTCTAGGAGTGTCAACTCCAGGGTAGAAATTAGTCTCCTCAAAAGAAGAGACTGACTTAAAGAAAAAAAATTTCTAGGTTTCCCTGACCAGAAAGCCAAGAAAATCATTTGTATTGGGTGTGGCCCTTTTGTATTTTATTCCTCATACTTAAATGACTGCTCTTTAAATCTTAGCCCCAGTCCTGAGAGCTTTGAAGGAAAGTGAAACCCTTTTCTAATAAAGTCTGAATCTCTGAGAACCAAAGGAGCTGCTTAAGTTTCTCCCAGTTCTCTGTCTCCTGTCAGGCACCACTTACTTCCCTTACTGCTGGCAGATCAGCCCTTGGCTCTCTGCTGAGTCCCCTGTGGAGGCAGCTCTGAGTCCTGACTCCTCTAGTCTGTTGAACAAGCATTCGTTTGTGTTCCACCCAGATTTCAGACACACACACACACACACACACACACACACACACACACACACACGTGGAGCCAGTGAGTCATGCTGGCAGCTACAGAGTGTGACTTTGGAACAGCCCCTGTTCTCCGCCAGCCAGCTCCCCCAGGTCTGGTGGCTGGATGCTGCTCCTGGAACACCTCCACTCTGTGCTGTGCTGGCCCCAACTCCTGGAATCGAACCACTGCAGGGTCGGTGGTGCTCCTAAGCTGCACCTGAATGGAGGGACACACACCTAGACCCTGCTTCTTCCCACTAGCCACACGTAGACCCAGCAGTCAGCCTCTTTCTGAGTAAGTTGCAATTGAAATAACCTTCTGCTGGTGAGAGCATTGAGTGTTGTTTATTTAGGAATTGTTGAATCCACAGCCTTCCCCACCACCCCTCGGAGGAGCCAGCTTGCTCACTTCTGTAGCACGGGAGCTGGTTCCCAGTATCACCATTTTCAGTTGACKTCAAACACCTGGCACCTTCAAAAACTAGTCTTTTCTTCAGTTGTGTATCTTTCTTATTCTGCCACCTCTATCTTCCACAAGCTGGGCCAGGACTTCTTTTGTAACCACCTCACTTAGGGACAAGTCAAGCTGGGCCTTACACTGGTTAGTCTGGGTATTCAATGGGGAAGGGGCAGTTGGTGTCTTGACCACCTTGGGTTTTTTTGTTTTGTTTTTGATGGTACTGAGGATTGAACCCAGGGCCTTGGGCATGCGAGGCAAGCACTCTACCAACTGAGCTATGTCCCCAGCCCTTGACCACCTTGGTTTTTAAGACTAAAGTCTGATGGAGGGGATCTTCCTACCTCCCACCTGCCTTCCCAGAGCTTATTTTTACCTTCCTCTTTGGCTTCATGGTGTTGCAGTCACTGTGATGGTGACATTTACTGGAGCATCAGGGGATTCTTGTGCAGGATCTAGACTTGGGGTGGTGGGTGATTCGGTGTCTACAAAAGAATAGGTGGGCAAAAGAGAGGCTTTGGGAGTGTCCAGATTGTTGTCAGACAAAGCGTACAGAAACAGCCTTGGTCTCTTTGTAAGTGGATAATCTTTGGGATAGAATTGTGCTTACCTGCAGGCACCTCAGTAGTTTCCCTTGCTCCCCTCTGTTGGTGCCTTTGCCCCCTGGGGGTAAAATGAGAGAGGAAAGTTAATGATAACTGTACTTCCTCTGCTTTCCTTTCCAACTAGAGGAAATCCTTGACTTCATAATGACTGGGGTACCCAACTTACATAGGAACAAGCAACTGACCAAGGCCTGTAGGAAGAAAAAGAGAGGGGGCATTATTTGACTGACTCAACATGGATCCCAGGAGATGGCACTCCCTTTCTCAATGAGCTCCATGCAGGTTCTCGAGAACCCAATCTGGAATGGCCCCAAATTCCTGAGCTGGGGGACTGGGGCTCAAATGATGACATCTAGCCCAGGGGAGAAGGTTGCAGCTAAGGAAGGGCCTTGATTCTCCTTTGGCTAAGGCTGGACCTGGCCACCCTGTGGAGTCAAGCAAGCAGCCCTTCTCTTTAGATTCCCACTCACAGGGGAAGGTCCGTGGGTGCCGGGCAGCATACTGGAACACCAGCAGAGAGACCACAGTTGCCACCACCATTCCTGTGCCTGCTGCACCCAACACTGCTGGATAGGCACTGAAGGGGGGGTCCACTAGGAGGTAAGATCACGGTCACATGATTTAGAGCCATGACGGAACTTGGGCAACAGTGGCTCATCAGATACCGAGGAGGCAGTGCCTGGCCCAACCAGTTTCCCCTCCAGCTGATGTGGGGGACCCCAGGGATCTGGAGATCAGCTTTTCCCAAAGAAAGAAGTACTCTGACTGCCTGGTGGCCCTTGATGGTTTGTGTCCCCAGCCAAATTCCCTATTTCTGGCACAGAATGCAGAAGGCCATGTATTTTGGCAGCTTGGAGCTAAAGAGAAATGGGCCATAAAACAAGAAATCCCCAAGATGGGGAGGGAGCAGCAGGAAGCTGAGAGCCCTCCTGTATCCCAGAAGGTGAGACTGAGGCACAGAGTGGGGCCCCTTCTTAAGTAATCACCAGCACCCTGTTCCTCCCCACCCCCTCTTAATTTCTTTGGCTTCAAGCTGAATTTGGGTTCAACCCCTAGACCTGGAGCCTCTTGAGCCTGCAGGAGGATGGGAAAGAGTGGTAGAAATTACCAGAGGGCTCTGAGGAGAGGGTGGAGAAGAGGACAGAGATGGGGTGTAGGAGAATCCAGCAGGAAGGAAGCAAAGGAATGGAAGTGGGATGCTCTGTGAACAGGATGTACCAGGGTCCGGTTTTCTGGGGAAAAGGTGAGTCCCTCCCTGGGTCCAGCCCAGCACCTGGTGTCTTCACCTCGGAGGGATATCCAGCAGTGTGATGATTCAGAGCCAGGATGCGGAAGGCATAAAGGACTCCCGGGTCCAAACCTCCCAGCCGCCAGCCCCTGCTCTCTGGGTCAATGTCACTAGCTGCAGTCTCCCAAGCCCCAGATCCTGGGCCAGAGCCACTGGCCCTCCGCTGCACCAGAAAGCTTGTCAGGTTCCCAGGACCCTCGATGGCCCATTGCAACTGCACCTCTCTCCGGTGCCGCCCATAGGTGAGACGTCTGATGGTGACATTGGGAGGAGCTGGATACCCTGGAGATGAGTGAAATTGGGGACCCATGTAGGCACCTGTACATCTACCACTATGATTCCTTGAGCATTCAGATGTGCTCCTGGGAAGAGGAAAAACTAGATCGGAGTTTTAGACCTGARCAGTTTACCTGGTCTCAATTTCCTCATCTATAAAATGAGGAGGAGGAGGAGGAAGAGGAGGTTGCAACTGCGTGGAGTTTTGCATGCCTGCAGTCAAAACTGCCTCAGACCYTTGGTGCCTACACCCATCTAGGSACCTGCTGTGGAGAGTCCACCTGGRCCCAAGTGTGCTCTGGTGTCCAAATTTTGGAGCAGAAAAATCCTAGGCAAATCCTTTCTGTAAAGTATTCTATGGC